CCCCCCCCCCCCCGAGATATAGCTGAAAGAAACCCTGGTCATGAGTTTTAGGCCTCTCTGGACCTCTGAACTGACTTGCCCTTCTCCGAGGCGTCATTCGTATTCCACAATGTATTTCTTCAAGAACCCAAAAGATTCCTAAACAGGCAATGCGCCAAATGTCGCGCTGAGCTCCAGAATCTCATAGTTGGAAACTAGTTGGCCAAAGCACAAAAGCCGCCAATGAATTCTACGCCACTGTGCAGCGCCGCACGTCCTGCTGTGCTAGCTAGTCATGATAACTTCTAATGTTATTGTGTTATTGATTCAATGTGTTCAGCACACCCCTACACACACACACGCTCGCTAACCCACCTACGTGTGACGTCTTGTTGGATCAGTGCAGCAAACCACATGATCTATTATCAGTATATAACTGAAGTATTCAAGCGTGTAACTTTATTCAATCCAGGGACGTCATTTGGGTAGGCAGGGTGTGGCATTTGCCCCCCCCCCCCTCCCACGCCCGAATTTGCAGGTTTTATTTAAATTGCTATTTACTGTGGCGTCTCCAGTAACAAACAACTTAACAAGCCGACCAAGTTTTAGTTTTGCTCCCCCCCCCCCTGAAAAAAATCTGAATGGACGCCCCTGATTTAAAATGTCGGATTTTATTATCTAAGATCTTGAGAATCCCTGTCGCATGCCTTTTTTCTTTTTCCCAGACCGGTCGATGAGGCATGTCATTGAATGTCGAATCTTTATCTGTATCAGGGGAGTAATTCAATATCGATAAAGGCCGGCGGGCTACAGTGGGTGACCCGGGGGGGGGGGGTTAATAGAGAATACAGGAGTAATGGCAATAGATGATTCGGCTTGATTTAAGCTTGGGCATGTTAGCTATAATTGGATCTGACAATTTTAGAATCACTGACAATAATGGCAATTACTTGAACCCATTTTATGAGGGCGGGTTTTAATTAGATAGACAGCGACCCGCAGGATTATTCCCGGGGCGTGGGGCGTCATTCTGTCAGTGATGTCAGGAAACTCAGTTGGATAAGAAGTATAGTGTGTATACGAACTTGGTCACCGACATAATTACATCGTCTTCAAATTGGCTGACAGTTTCGTAATCCCTAAAGTATTTTTAATTTTACTTTACTTTTGCTGATTTAGTACATTACTCATTAAACAAAATATCTATCGAATTAATTTTGTTTTTTGTGGTGGGAGGTGGGTACCCCCTTGATCGCCCATGCCACGGGCATAATTTGTTTGAAAATCATTTTTTGTTTCACTTGACATTATTATTCTTTATAGTATTATCTTTTATCAATCAATTTACCTAAAAATAGCAGGGCTAAAATTTGGTGAAATAATTTTAATGCATTGAAATTTCGCGATTCGTCAATTTACCTTTTTTTTTTTTTTTTTTTTTGAATTTGATATTTTAAAAATATATAGTCAAAATTTCGATCTGAACAATAAGTAAAATCGCCCCNGGGGGGGGGGCGGTCAACGTAATTCTCGGCATAAGCAAGTGGTTTATAGACATTCTATTCTTTCAGCCCCCGCAAATCGCTTTCCAAAAATATAAAAAGCTTAACACCCTGACAATTCTTAGTAGAATTAAATCATGGCAACGTATTTATTCCAATAATTATATAGTCTAATAAATCAGCATAATTAAATATTCAAGATGTTTAACCCATTTTGAAATAGTTGAGATCTCCTTCAGCGCGTGGCATATAAGCACAGATTGCCCATAAGTTCATGAATTCAATTTTCTTAGTGTAAAATCAAAGCTCATGTTCTTAACTGATTCAATTTCTGAGGCCTATTGATTTTTATAGAGAACACATATACATTTGCCAACTGAGGGCAGAGATACTTCGTTGTTGTTGTTTTTTTTAATATTGAGCATTTCGTTTCATCATGTAGATTTGCCTTCTCGTTTTGGATCTAAGTTTTTTTTAAGAGGGGCGAGCTTCTGATGACGTACATTTATATTTGGTTATTCTTGTCTTTATTTTTTTTTTTAAAAATCAAATAAAAATGATTATTTTATTTCATGTGATACCAGACTAAATGCTTACCATGTAAGTTTGTAACAAATGCATATTTGATTTGTTATATGGTGTAAATGTATTGCTATATGGAGTATATGATTTTTTATAAGGAGTAAATGACTTGTTATATGGAGTATATGAATTGATATATTGAGTATATCCTTGTTATATGGAGTATATCCTTGTTATATGGAGCATATGACTTGTTATATGGAGTATGTGACTTGTTATATGGAGTATGTGACTTGTATGGAGTATGAGACTTAATACATGGAGTATATACTTGTTGTATGGAGTATATCCTTGTCATATTGATTATATGATTTGTTATATAGAGTATATGATGTGTTATATGGAGTATAACCTTGTTATATTGAGTACCGGTATATGACTTGTTATATAGAGTATATGACTTGTTATATGGAGTATGTGACTTGTTATATGGAGTACAAGACTTGATATATGGACTATATGACTTGATATATGGAGTATATCCTTGTTATATGGAGTATGTGACTTGTTATATGGAGTAAATGACTTATTTGGAGTAAATGACGATATATGGATTATATGACTTGAAAAGCTCAAAGACTGGTATCCTATATTTAAACATCACAAATATATAGGGTAAAAATTCCATGAAAGAAAGGCGATTCATGACATATATGCTTTAATTTCCTTCCATCACTCAATGAAACACACACACACACATATTAAACACGGTTACACATTCTAGCCACCACCACACAACACCAGTAACATCACCAGTAACATCAGTAACACTTACAATCAAAACAATCAAGTCACACAAACAACAATAACAAGTTTTTTAGTGACCAAAACATGGGGGGACTGTAGTGGCAAAAAAAAAAAATAATAGAAGAATTCTTAAATATTTAAGCAGTCTGTGTGTTGCTTAATTATAAATTCTTGGTCTGTGACTAAGCAACTGAAGCCCAAATCCTTTATACATCACCTTTTTAATGATGAAATTTAAAATTTTTAAAAAATATATTAGTCTTGGATTTAACAACCTAAAGTTAAATAATGGCTACAAATTACCAAGAAATGATAAAACCATTCAAATAAAGGAAAATACAAATAATATAAAGTTATGAAAATTGGTTATCACACAATACTAACAACTGAAACAATATATAACGTATCATTTTAAAAAAAATGTTTTAATTAAATTCAGTTCAATTGTGAGTCTTTCCAAAGTTCACAATTTGATTTAAATAATAAGCAGACAATTAATATCCATTATTCATTCAGTTCATGTGTTTAAATTCGTTCAAAGAAAGTGAAAAACTCTTACCACAAATGATTTTTCAGTTAATTAGCATTAAAAAGGCTTTGACTAAATTACCACACAAAAGCTGTATACATGAACTTCCTTGATTAAATATCTGGCAACAACCAGGCAAAAGCTGCTTTTACAAACTATTTTGGAATGAAAACATGAATAAATAACTGGCTGATCTAAAAATATTAATCAAAACAAGCAGAGGCTCAAAAAAAAAAAAAAAATAATGGATGGATGAGTACGTGGGGAACAGATAACAAAAACACAAAAATAGGTGAACCTCTTTATCTTCATCATTGTTTCTAAAGGTTTTAGTGATGTTTTGATGATACATTCTTAGTCACTGTATAAACAAACATAAAGTTTGTTTTGAACAAATTTCAATAATTTTTTTTTTTGAAATTTTTAAGCAAAAAAGAAAGAAGTTGTGATCAAATAGAATATTTAAATACTCTATATTTTTTATCAAAAGCAGTAATCAAACAAGGTTCTCTAACTCTTGTAATATTTTTTTGTTTTTTAATCTCAGTGGTGTGTCTTGAGTTGATGGGCGTCATCTTAAGATTTCTTGCCAGGGTCTTCTTTCAATGTCACTGTCCTGTTGAATACCAGCTGGGGATGCAAGGCAAATAACATGTTAGAAGTGGCCATTACCAAGTGTTAGATTGGAATATTATGTAAATTCAACTATGAAAGGAGAAATTTTCCCAAAATTATCACCAAAGTCACTAAAAGTGAATCCGTTTGCCAACTTTGCCTCTGACCGACACAAACTTTAAAGTAAGTTTAGTTTAGCTTCTCCTGAAGTGTAGGGTTTAAACATTATAAACAACCTCATGGCTGTCTCATCCTTAAGGTAAGAGAACAGGAGGCCCTCAAATGATCTCCCATATCCAGTCTTTCTGTCCAGGTTGAAAGAAAAAACGAAAAGATGGGGAAAAGTAGGAACAAATAATGCTTACCTTGCTCTGTGTTGAATCTGGATCCACAGAGAAGTAACCTATTCTCTCAAACTGGAACTTGTCATAAACTTTGGCCCCCAACACAGAATGGTCAACCATAGCCTCAGGCAGCACCTCTAGAGAATCCTGGGAGGGGATAGCCAAGTGCATGATAAAAATGTGAAGCTAATGATTACAATTAGCAATACTTCCTATATGATTCCATAATCATTTTATATAGTTTGACACAAAAATTAGTCTTAAAATATTGAATTAATATTGAGGGAGGCAAAACAAAACAGGGAAGATACACAGAATATCTAAAAAGCTATAAATTGTTACCCAAATAGCACATAATTTAGGTGAATGGTCAATTAGTGCAAAAATTTTGTTGGGTTAAAACTAATGATATATTCTATCCTCAAATGTTTAATTTAAAAACTAAATTTAAAGTATCATTTATGAGAGTTTGAATATTTCCAATGAATCAATTCAAAAATTTGTTCTTCTTTGGTTTGAATTGATTTTTTTTTCAACTTAAAAAAACAAAATTAAATAATAATTCCTACGAGACAAAATAAGATAAGATATTTTTATTGATCCAATAACTTGAAATATGTTGTTTTTTTATGTCAATGTACATAATTTTTTTCAGTCTTGAATATCGTTGTTTGAGTTGCTCCTTAAAATTAGTCTGTAGCAAGACTTTTGTTGAATAATTGTGTGGTATGATTAACACATAGTACAAGTATAATTTAATTATATGAATACTTAAGTGAGATATAAAAAACAAAAAAAGATGAGAACCTTTTTGTCTGAGAGAGCCATGGACACCACATATTTTGAAAAGTAATTCTGTGAGAGCCATACATTATGTTTACAACTAAAAATTCAAGTAAAAGTGTGCATTTTGTGTAATTTCAACACTAAAAATGCAATAATTATGTCTCTGAATTCTTTTTAATAACATTGTTATGCTGTTGCTAATCAATAATGAGTATTTCTTACCATTAAAGCGACTTTTTTTATAATCGAACATTTGTGTGCGAGCCAGATGCAGCCATCAATAGAGCCACATCTGGCTGAGCCATAGGTTCCCGACCCCTACACTAGTGGATACTCACTGGATTGATGTCTGTGAGGAAACCTCCTGGAACTTGGGTTGCATCCTCAGGGAACTTGTGATTAAATCTGAAACATTCACATCAAGGATAACATTTTTAAATAGTCTTCACTCTTTAAAATTAAAATTAAATATTTGGTGTTAATAATATTTTCAATTTTTTTTTTATCTTCAAAAGATTAGAAAACAGGGATGACAAAATTATATAACAGATCCCCCACTTACAGGCGGTCGTAGACCCTGATCTCACAAAGCAGTGGCTGGGACACCCAGTGGATGAAAGCTTTGGGCTTGGGTGCATCAGCAGCTGCCTTGCATGTCACAACCAGTTCTGTGGGCTGACCAAGGGAGTCCTTGAGGAGATGCAGAATAAATCACATTGAAATTTTAGTGTTGATCACTGACGAATTTATGTACATTTCTAATTTTGACACCAAGAGTCTACATCTCTGCCAGATATTCAACACATAATTCTGTTACTAAAGTGTGTACATGAAAATTTAAATAAAAAAGGCTTACTTACCCTGATGACTTTTTCTACAAAGATGACAAGACCAGTGTAACGAAGTCCCACTGGCTGGTCTTTGGTCAAACGGAAGAAATTCTTATCAGCTGTCTGCAGTACAGAAAAGAAGTATGCATTAGATAAAAAAAGACTTGAGACAATAAGACAATAAATTGGTGGACAAAAATTTGAAAACAGTCTCTGAAATGACAGTTGTGTGACTAATATAAAAATATTTCTTTAAATTAAAGATAATCACCTTTATAGACGGAATAGACTTAAAATTGCATTTAAAACATAAAATCTTCAACTCTGGATTTCAAGCTATGAATTTTTGGAAAACATAAAATCTTAGACACTTTTTTTATTGGCATTATATTTTTTTTTAGTGTAAACATTAAAGTGCAGTCCATCTATTTTAACTTTACCTCCTTAAAGTCTTCCTGTTCGATGTATAAGACATAATTAAAGCCAACTAAATGGGATCCTTTGGACTCATTTGCTGGAAAATCTGGCACAGAGATTTCTTTGGGGAAGTCTGCTGGTAAATTTGATATTACCACTTTCAAGGGGTGCAACACCGCCATTGCTCTGAAATAGAATATAACTACATCAATATCACTTTTATAATTTTTGTTAAAGTGGACTATACCGCCCGGTTTGACAACCGGGGCGAGCGACAAACATGCGCAGGGCTTGTGGACAGTGTGTGTTGAGTATGTTCCGGAGATGAGCATGGAGTGAACTTGTTTTGAGAACTTGCTATTATATATATATATATATTTTTGTTAATGATTCTTGTTTGACATGAAAACATATCAAAACGTAACAGTTTTACAGATAAAGCAGTTAACATCAGGTTGCTCAGTTTTTTTCTTTTATATAAAGAGAAATAAAGACTTAAATGTACATGATAAATTTGCTGTTATGGACATAGTTAATTTTTCAAAGGGGCTGGTGCATTATTAGAATTAATTTATCCAAACTGTAGCAGCTAAATTCAAATAGTTTTAACAGAGCTAGTTTCAGCATTGACATGGGAATTTTTTATTTTTCTCTTACCTTTTTGCTGTCACATTCAGCACATCCCTGACACAGGCCTCTAACATAGAAGGGTCTATACAAGTTTGGGCCATAGTAACTCCTACCTAATCAAAACACATATAAACTACTTAAAATTTTACGTGTTCATTCTGATTTTTTTTTTACAACATTTACAGGACAATTCTATCTAAATAGAGATACATATAATAAATGAAAGACTAAAAATAAACTGTAAATCTGTAAAAACAATAATAATAAAGCTTTTTTGTAGTACTTATGAAGACATTTGCCAAAACATTTGAATTTGCACTTTGTTTAATCATAATTACAGCTTAACATGTATTCCTTTATTTACAAAAAACAATTGTGCGTATCATAAATTAGTTAAAATCTTTATCGCGGTTCAACCCTTTTATAATTAGTTAATCAATCTAAAGCTGTTCTAAAAATCTAAATTTTATTATAAACTAGGAGCCAACCTTAGCACAGAAGAAGTTGATCGCCTCTGCTGGAAAACCTCGCCTTCTAAGTGCAGTGAGCGTGAAAAGTCTTGGGTCATCCCAGTCCCTGAAATTTAATCCACATTTAAAGATTTTAACAAATCTACTCCAACAATGAAACCAGTCGTAATCATAACAGATTGGCACAAGAGAGTATGACAACAGATGCTGAGAATTAATAATTTTCATAACATCAATGGTAGGATAGTAAGGACTAATACTAATAGAGAGGGAAAACATATCTAAGCAAATTTGTATTTTTTTTTATGCAATCAAAATTATATATTTAACTCATATATTAAGATCAGATATTCGGATTATGGTGCAGTCATAAAAAGTTATCCTCGGGCTATGTTTCACAGTATACAGTAAAAATATTCATCATTTTATTTTCATCCTCGACTTATAAAAAAAAAAAAAAAAATTTTTTTTTTTAAAAAAAAATTTTATTTTCCATATTATTTTTTTTTAAATTTTTTTTTTTTTTTTTTTTTTATTTTAAAAGTATACAGTAAAAATATTCATCATTTTATTTTCATCCTCGACTTATAAAAAAAAAAAAAAATTGGGGTTGATAAAAAAAAATTTGATTTTCCATACTACTTTAGTGAAAATGTTTTTTTCTCTATTTATTTTATTTTAAAAGTTATCATCAGATAAAACAAACAATAACATGAGAAACTTTTTTATGAACATTTTTGTCAACTTTTTTTCCTTTGTCAAGGTTTACCTTATACAGACTGTTTTGAATTTTGCTTCACAGATTTTCTCCTGTCATAGCATCAATTTTAAATTGTTCATTTTCTTTAATAACTTGTAAACAATTCAATATTTAATCTTTACTTATAAAAATCAAAACAAATAACTTTCACTCACAATTTCATCACAATACAGTTATATACAGATCACCCACCCCTCTGGAGTGCACTCCCTGGATACTTTTAATATGAATGACTTTTAAAAAGCAGGTTATTAAGCTAATGGTGAGCTGGGGAAATTTATCCATGATGCACTCACCTGACAATACACTCTGTAATTAGTTTTGCTATTTTCCTCTTAGACACAACTGTGTAGCTGAGATTGAGTCTTCCATACTCCCACTGGACAGGACAGTACATGTCCAACACATTGCAGAGCCAGTAGTAAGAGGAACGTCTGGAATGAAGAGATATTTATAAAGAGTGGCCATTGACCGACAAAATAGTGTTTGAATAGGCAAAACCTAACCATTCTAACTATCCTATTCCTACATGAAACTAGAAATTGAACAACCCCAATAAAGTTTTTGGTTTAAATCCTTTATATGCATTTTTGTGCGACTTAGCCATGGCTACAGTTGTTAAGAAATCATCACATCATATTTCCTTTAAATCTTCCCTTGAAAAATTGATTCTTGGGGGTTGGGGGGCTGAAAATTTGAAAGAATGTGTTGTCATCTGCAATTCAAGTAACACATTTTATATGAATCCCAATTAGTGTCATTGTGTGTCGTCACCCCCACCCCACACCCCCGGCGCAACCTCACATTTTTTCACACCCCTGAACTAAACTAATTCAGGGACTTTAACACCCCTCGATCAAGTGACCTTAAATGTGCAAGAAAGACGCATAACCTTTTATTTCTAACAAGCATCATTTCCAAAAACGTGAGGAGGAAGTATGTTTTCAATTTATCATTCAGTTGTAAATGTGGAAAAAAAAGATTGCTAAAAAGAAGGCATAATAACCGAAGTTTACCTTGACTGGAATTCCTTGGTACACAATGAGTGGGTGATGTGTTCAATGGAATCACAAAGGCAATGAGTGAAGTCATAAGTTGGATATATACACCTGTCAAATAGTACAGTCTCAGTTAGCCAAATATTAAAAATATCTTGGGAGGCCACTTGAATTTCCCATTGAAATGGAACATTGTGTAATATTCTAACAGGGGATTCATAAAAAAAAAAATTACCATTAATTTACTTACTTAGTCAACCCTGATTAAATATAAATGCGTTTATTTGTTCTGTCATGATGACTTCAAGTCACCCAATGTCCCGTCCCCCTCATGACAGGTTCCCTTTAGTTTTTAATACATGGTGATTTTCCCGGCCATTTGAAAGTGGTTGAAGAGCCTTATTATTAGTGTTTTAGCTTTTTTATGTCATATTACAGCATTTTTATGTAGGCCACATTTAGTGAATCTAACTTAAGGATGCAATTTTCGCTGCTTTTTTTCATATAACAGAGTCCATGGTGAACCCAAGATGTAGACACATGATAATGCTGGGCTTTGGATCACCAGACAGACAGATGAGAAGGTGACTTACTGTCTGTGCCACCCAGCTGCCTGAAATGGATCATCCACCACTAACAAAAAGTGCAAACATATGTTGTAGTAGAACTTACCATTTGTCCCCAGTTCTATGGTGGGGAGTAAATTTTATACGGTATGCCACAGGGTCTTTTTTGCCTTCTTCTAGTGTTGTCTTCATGCGTAGAGTAGCTTCCCCTTCTGAAATTTTGCCCCTCTTCATGTCCTAGGGGTTAAAATAAAAACACAGGAATTCAAAGCAGTGTCACACACTTTGGTTGGAATCATCCTTTTTTTTTAAACAGCTTTGGTACAGTTGCATTAAATCAAAGTAAAAAAAAACTTTGCAGACATCAGAAATTATCTTTTTATGGGCCTTACCTACTGATGTTTCTATATTGTGGGTTTATGAACTATACTTAACCCATGAAATAGAGTGGAGGAAAACTTTTTTTCAACTGCATGAAAATATATTTTTAATATCCATAATAACGTAAAGATTAAAATGCAAAGAAAGGAAAGGTAGTCATCTGACTGAGATAACATGTTATTCCAGTAATAGTTCTTATATGCACTGAATAAATGAACCACCATTTTTTTGTTCATGGTTCTGCATACCTCAAACAGTTGAAGTGACTCAGGGATGGGTCTGTCTCTCCATGGAGAATCTGGTGGAGTGAAACCTTTCAGTGTGTCAGCTGGCATGTGACAAACATAGGCATGACCTCTCTTGATCAGCTCCAATGCACATTCATACAGCTGATCAAAATTGTCAGAGGCATGAGTGATCTTGTAAGGTGTATAGCCTGGAAAGAAAATGAAGTCACAATGAATGATAATTTAGTAACATAATAAAAACACATATTAAAAAACTGTTATATATCTATATATATATCTATATATATAATATATGACTGCGTTCAAGCTATATGAAGTAAATAGTGTTACAAGGTATGTTAAGGCTTAAAAAAATGACAAGACAATTACACAGACATTTCAGCTGGATGCCTTCCTCTGCCAATAATAAACAACAGATAAATTTAAATCAAAATAAAAACTTGTTTTCTTTTAAGTGATTTACATATTCTTCTTTCCACCAAGCTATTTACTCATGGGATGGGGTGGGGGAGAGAGAGAGAATGAACTTAGTAACATTCATATACAATGCCTGAACATAATAGCATTCCACAATTCAGTCATTAAAAAAAATTACTTTGAGCAATGTGTTTTACTTGGGGAACTTTATATATAGCGGACATCAGCCTTTGCAAAATGTATTTAGTGAGAAATAAAAAAAAAACTACATGATAAAATTTGAGGTAATTAAATTATATTAATAATAAAGATTATTACAAAAATAAATATGAACCTACCTAACCACTCAACCATATCTCGTATGGCCAAGAAAAATTTCTCTTCTTCCTTCTCTGGGTTTGTATCATCATAACGCAGGTAGCAATGGCCTCCTGTGCTCTAAAATACACAAAAATTATATCGTTCATAACAACCTGAATGTTTTATTTAACACATCAGTTGTTAACTACTTCATTATTTTAATGTATTGAACGATCTTATTTAAAATATAGTGAACTACCTTATTTAAATGTACTGACCAACCTTATTTAAATGTACTGAACTATCTTATTTAAAATATAATCAACTACCTTACTTACATGTAGTTAACTACTTTATTTTTATGTAGTGAACTATCAAATTTCAAATATAGTGAACTAACTTATTTAAATGTAGCGAACTATCCTATTTAAAATATAGCAAGCTACCTTATTTAAAATATAGTTTATATTTGTTATTTTTATCCCAGATTAATGTTGAAAATGAAATATTTTTTTTAAATTTTAATTAATTAACTGTAGTGGCAAATTAATGGACTAATTCAGTTATCAAAATTAATTTGATATTAGTTTTTGCATTTTAACATACACAGTTTAATAATTAAATGTGTGCACATGGAATGTTAGAGATTGCATTCTTGTTGCATTTAATGGCTTACGGTAGTTAACGGGTTAAAGAGCAATAATTATCATACAAGTTTTAAATGACAAAATGTTTTAACTAACGATTTCAGTCCACAGCAATTAAAAATATTGATAAATGTGTAAAATAATTGTACTGTGAGAATTTAAGGGGCAAACTGACCACTCAGTACATTGAAGGCATTGCTTACCTTTGCATAACCAAAATTGAAATTGATTGCCTTTGCATGACCGATATGCAATATACCATTAGGCTCAGGGGGAAATCTTGTAAAAACCTAATGAATGAAAATCAATTTATAATTAAGTTTCAGTTGCAAATGGTAAGAGAATTTTCTGCAAAAATAATACATTGAAGCCCCACAAATATAAAATATTAGTTATCAAATAAATAGAAGCCTTGATTGCTTGTAAACAGAATTGGAATTTTTTTCTAATAAATTTAACATTATGAAGTTTTTAACATTTTTTTATACTTCTTACTCCATAGACTTTTTTTTCCCATTTGCATATGAATATAACAAATTTTGGAAACAATGCCACCACCACTGTGTTATAAGCAAATTTGAGTTATAGTGAGAAGCATTAGAGCAGGGCTACACAGTCATTATTAAACAAACTTATAATTACTAAGAGCAACTTGGCTACTATAAATTTAAATGCCATGCTTAAAAATAATATCTGTCAACCTTTCCTCCTGTAATCTGCAGGTGCTTTTTAAGAAGGTCCATTGTATTTGGGGTAATAACATATCCATCGGTCTTGTAATTCTCACCTGTAGATGAATTAAAAATTGTCATTACAATTAAAAACAAATTCTACCAGATATACTACCATATCAATTCTTTAAAGAAGACACCTTAAGCAATTTTAAATGCATGCTTTTAAATTCCCAAAAAAATGACTGAAGTTTAGTATTAATAAAATCAACTTCACCAGCATACACAAAACATTTATTATCTTGCACATTGTAGTTTTATAAATTTATTGTCTCAGAAATTGTACTGTAGTTTATAATTTAATATTTCTTCTGCAAATTTGGTTTTAAAATAGGCAGTGATGCCATACCCACAATTATTTCTAAATTAGATACACAGTAGAAAACATCAAGAAATAAATTCTATTTATCTATGTAGATTGGATTGCTTGCCTGGTTTATGAAATTTAAGTGCTTCACCCATGACTTCAGCAAAACCTTTCAAATGACCATCGGCTGACACAACTGAAATCAATGAGGTTATATACATTTATCAGTTTATTTCACATATTTAAATAAAAAATAGTAAGTACAACTTTGAATAAATGTACTTACTTTTGTATGTTTTTAAAAAATAAATTATAGCACAATACACCTTTAATTTTTTTAAGAAGGAAATTAAATTTTTATTGAAATGGTGAGAGTGTCTACCTTTCAAATAATAATGTGCATTTCCAGAAGATGCTATAGTTTATAACACAAAACTGCACTGGTGCAATACTAATGTAAGCTCTTAATACTCCATTTTTTTTAGTTTATTAAAATCTCAAGATTGTCTAGAATTACATCATCAACAGCTCTGTTGCTGACATTAATAGTTTAAATCCTTTGGTCTAATTTATCGTTTGATAAAGAAACCTTTTTTAAAAGTACTTTGGTCTCTATTAGGTTAGTGGACTAATATATAAATAACTTAAAGCTGATTAAATTGGACAAGAAGAATAATGTACAACAATGTAAAAAATTAAGTTTTCGTTGTTATTTTTATGGTATAAAACAAGTCTTGAACTTTGGATAATTGAATACTTAAAATCTAAGGGGAAAAAATCATTTATGTGTACCATTTACTATTTGGATAGTGTAAATAAAATTCTGAAAACCATTATTTATAAAAATTTATTTATATATACCGAACTACATTAAAAAAATGCACTCACCACTGTCATCACTTTCAACCTTAACACTACTGATGCCATTCACAGATGGTGCAGCTTCATTTGTCTTGGTAGGTTTGCCTCCCTGAGAAAAATTATAAGCTGGTGACTGTAAAAATCTAGCAGTGGCTATAAATTGGTACTAACCAGCATGAAATGCCTTTGAAACATTTTTTTGGTTAAAACTCCGTTAAAGCAAAATTACCAAATTCAAAGCTCAAAACATTGTATGCATTGATTTCCTCATCAACAAATAATAAAAGTCAAACCTTTGGCTTCTGTGGTTTTTCAAGGTCAGCCTCGGTCTTAGGACCCAACAAGTCCAGAATCTAACCAAGAAAAATGTGGATTATGTTATATTCAATAATTTAAACTATCTAGTCCAATAAAGTATCATAAGGACTAAAAGAAATTTATACACATATATATGTATGTTATGGCCTGTGTGTTCCCACCCCCCCACCCCCCCGTTTTTTTTACTTCAATGTAGTGATTTCGATTTTTACAAGACACTTATAAGATGTAATATGTTCAAAAAAAATATTGTACTTTTTATGTGTGTAATTTAATATTTGTATCTTTCGCGGATTGTACTTTGTCAATTGCTGTGCTGTAAGTTGATATAGCTTTTATTCCGGTCTGTCTGATTTTGTATTTTTTATATAAATTTAATAGTATAATTAAATTGAATATTGTTAATATGCTTTGCTATCATTTTGTTTGTACGGGTTTCAGATGGTTTTCAATACGGGTTAAGTATTGTTCAATTAATGAGCCACATCTTAAAACAGAATAAACTTTCAAAACCATAAAATAATTGTAACAATGTAATAAATAGAATGGAACATAGTTTTCTTTATAGGGGAAAATTTTCCAAAATAAATTATTATTTTTTAAAAAAAACAAGAGGTGCAACTGAACCTGTTAAAATAAATTCCCATATTAACTTAAATCTGATTGACAAATAAACAACCATGCATTAGTTTTGTTTCTGTTAAAATATGTTAAAATAAGAGAGGTCACAAAAGAAGTACCTGCATATCTAGTTCATTTTTTACTGCTTTACCATCAGCCCATTTTATTTTACTTTTAATTTCTCCTGTTAAAAAAAATAATGGTAAAAATAAAATGAATTTTAAGAATTAAAACAAGCCACTAATCTACACAACTGATGAAACATACAGACAAACAAGAATTTAACATGAAGTTAAGGGAATCAGTAGAGGGAGGAACATTTTTTTTATACAGAGGGCTTGGAATATATGTCATTGTTTACTTTAGTTAAAATAATGCTATGAATAAACATAGTTAAATAACAAAGTTATGAGGGTTATAGAGTGATGAGGTTTTCAAATGCCAGTACATTAATGAGACACAATGTGTGTCAATAAAATGAGACTATGTTAGCTTTGATAATCGTAAGACAAAATGCAAATTCAAACGATTCTGGTAATGCTGTCATTGGTAGAACAGAATAACAGTAAATTAAATTTTGCATAATATATTTAAATTCTACTTACTACTATTGAGAAAATGAAAGAAAACTTGTTTTAACAATAGCTACCTAGCAGAGGTCCAGTGCTATAATGATATCTTTTCTCTAAGAGGCCCTGCTTGTGTTTCTTGACTACTTCCTCCACCTATAAAGTAAAATAAAATTGAAGTTAGAAATTAAGTTTTAATTTTTAAAACTATCAACTTCAGTTCAGAAATTTAAAAAATATTTAGTCTCATAAAACACAGTCGAAAATGAAGTGGTCATAACTAGCTTACAGCTGTCTCAATTTCCTCTGGCGAGACAACAACTCCCACACCACTGGCTTCTTCAAAAGCTTTTGCATTGACCTCAGATTCCAAATTGTGATGAAGAAGATAACTGATAGCAGCTGATGATGTAATTTAAATAGAATGCATATTATTATAACTCTGAGACAAAAATATATTAAGCTTTATCACCTACATTCTTTTTATCTAATAATTATGAGTAACTGTTAAATATGTTACATGTATTTGTGTTCAGTACTCTATTCCAATTTATTTTTCAGTAAAAACTATTCACATTTCAAACCGAAACATTATGTCTTATCATATACAATAAGCAATATAATTTCTTGATTTTAGTTCTTAGAAATTTCTAATTAAACAAAGATTCAATTCACATTCTTTTTTTATAATGCGAAAGTATGTTAAACCACAACAAAAGCCTACCATTTAACTGATCCTCAGTTGTAATTTTTTTTGTGGCAATGTACTGGACCACAAAGTTCTGATGGTGCTTAATCTGTGCTTTGAGTTTTGTTGCCACACTGTATAGCAGCTTGCCTACATCTTTGTTTCGTGCATTTCCTCCTCCATATTGATCCGCCTTTTATCATATAAAAATAAAATTTTAATGACATAGATGCTATAATTTTTTTTAATGAATGATCTTTAGTTAAAGATGTTAAAAAAAAATCATTCTAAAACTGATCATTAATTTCTTTAAAATTCCTTGAGTTAATTATCCATTTGTTCCTCACAACAAGGTCAGAATAAAATGATATGGTTTTATTTACAATTTTTAAAGGACAAAATGCACCTCTTAAACACTTAATTATATAATATAAATGGGTAGAGATTAATGAGCACAATGATTCCCTTCTCACATGAGCCTTAATCTGAGCATAATTTGGGATGAATGTAACAGCTTTATTGTAATAATATGGCATCCTTCCGTCTTTGCGAGACGATAGAGTAGCTATGTAGTCCTACACTTCGAAGAGTGGCTCACTAGGCCAATCCTGAAATGACAATCTCGACTGCAATTCTTGTGGGACAATATTGATTCCTGGTTGGATTAACAGCTTTATTGTATCCCTAAGGTAAAACAACAAGACCTGCTGATAACCTACGGTCGCCTCCTTGCATCACGTAGTCTCAATGCCAACATGCTCCACGCTCAAATTATAGACATTTATTAGATATTTTTAAGATTAACCTGTAATCCGATGACAATGGAAAAGGAACGTGAAAAATTTATTGCACATGCACTAGAAAACAATAAAAAATTGTGAGCTTGGAAACCTAATTTTTACACAGGGCTCATCTCACCTACATGTTTGATGATCAAGGGCCAATAGATCTTATGCCTTATACTTTGAGTTTGATCTTGTACACAAGTACAGTCTGTAAAGTCATTTACTGATTTAGGCTAATATTGTAATTACATGACAGTATGATTGTTAATTTTATTGAAAGCGACCCGGGGTCTCTGGTTGACGAGCCTGTGGTGGCTTGCCGATTGGGAGGCGTCAGCCACCAGACCCCCTCCGCATTACCCAGGGTCAAGACCACCATTGTGTGTCCTGCATGTTGGCTGTGTGGAGGTGTGTTGGGGGGCATTAAACATGTCCCTTGTCTGCCCATGCAGGTGGTCCATTTGTAGGTGACAAGTGGGGAAAAAAGTTGAACAAGGGGCGCATAGCTCAGCAATGATTTGACACTAGCAGAAAAATTATTTATCCATGTACCTAGCTACAGTAGTACATACAGTACAACACACACACACATATGATGTTGATGAACTTCACTCTGACTCTGTGACACAAAAAACTGGCTAATGCAAAGAAGCCATGCCATGACATCATTTACATGTTTTTGTTAAGTTTCTGTTTTGGGTTCATTCCCCTTGTTTTTTGTTATTAGAGTCAAATTTTCCTTAATATGACGATGGCATGTTTTGAATTAAAATTTTATTGGTTGATTTATTATAATATTTTAATTTTTCAGCCATATTTGAAAATGGATTTGGCATTGTATTTTTTTCATTTTCTGGATATTCTTTTCAGTAGAACCTGAAATATAAAGTGTGTAAAAGTGTATTCTATGAAAATGTTAGTTGGGTTTTCATTATTTATTTATTTTACAATTATTTTTTTATTGTTTTTCTTCATTTTTTTTAGTTTTCTTGTCACATTGTGTAACTGCAGCTGCACTGCCTGCACACGTATTTTCACTTGAGGCTTTAGGACTAGTTTTAGGGTTTGGGTAAGGTTTAGGGATAGATTTAGGGTTTGGGTTAGGTTTATATTTAGGGTTCAGGTTAGGTTTAGAGATAGATTTAGGATTCAGGTTAGGTTTAGGGATAGATTTAGGGTTCATGTTAGGGTAAGGGATACATTTAGGGCCCAGGTTAAGTTTAGTTTAGGGATACATTTAGGGTTCAGGTTAGGTTTAGGGACACATTTAGGGTTCAGGTTACATTTAAGGATACATTTTTTCATTTATTTTTAAGGTTTTATTCCTAATTTTAGCAGACGCGTGTTATTTTATTTTTACATAGCCGCCATCTTGGTTGCCGTGACCTGTGAACCCGTAAAAGTTAATGGGTCTTGGCAACCAAGATGGCAGCCAAGTGATATGTCATGTTATATGTGATATGTCTTGTTTGCATTTAACAAATTTGTAAATGATATAATATTAATTATTATTTTATTTAATTATTAATAGAAAATATTTTGTTATAAATATGACCGAATTCCAAATGCCAAAAGTCAATAGCCTTTATTTTTATAATTTAAATACAGCAATGAAAAAATGCACAATTTCATGTGTATATAATTAGCGACGCTAAACTACAAGACAAGTGGTGTATTGTTAATAGGCCTTCATCAAGGTATCAGGGAGGCCTAAAATTTAAAATAAAATATGTTGCAGCAGGTTTCATCATCAGGCAGGGTCCAGGGAAATCTCAACAAGGAGGGACTGTCGCTCCTACTTATTGAAAATAACAAATCAAAAATTACATTATTCTAATTAATTTCAAAATGGATACTTACAGCTTTTATTGCTTGTATTAAACTAGTTTTAACTAGTTCATTTTTGATAGTCTCTTTAGCTTTTTCCTCTGTAAGTCCTATGCTAACAAACAATTCCACGAGATTATCTGCCATGTTTAACACCCTAACCCGGAAGGAAATTATTCTGGCAGTATAAAATATGTTCCATAGAGACCAGAACACAGGAAATAGACATCGCTTGAAAATAACGAAATTAATTTGCCGACTTCCATATTAATATTAAATGTGACTGAAATAAATTATCTCGTGAATTCAAAGCTAACCCATTTTAATAAAGATTTCAAGGTAAAAGGGCAGTTCAGGAGAGTATGTTTACCTGACATGAGGAGTGAGCAACTTTTCTTTGTTATATTTTCATTTCTATTGTTGGCTGAGGAAGGCTTTATGCCGAAACGTCCTTGTTTTTTGTCCTGTTACCTTATTTCAAGCTTCCACATACCTCGTTTCACTATTTCATTCATTTACATAGCTTGAAAGCAGTCCCTTCATTTATTTCTAGTTAAACTGAGCAAGTTTTTCATTGACAAAGTTAAAACAATCGAGTCGAAAGAGCTGGCTTTGATTTTTGAAGGAAGGCAACCCTCTAGACCAGGCCTGCGCAACATACGGCCCGCGGGCGCATGTGGCCCACTAGCACCCACTTTGCGGCCCGCGAAGTAATGAAATATTATTTATTATTATTATTTTCTTAATAGCTCAACCCCCCCCCCATCCTATTTTCTTTTTGCCCGCACTAGTGCTGTCCTATTTTCATTTGGCCCGCACAAGTTGTTCATTAAGTATTACGGCCGCCTTACATTTTGAGTTGGGCAAGCCAGCCGTAGACTCTAGAGAAATTCTTCCCAACTTCCCAAGTACAGCTGAAACGTGTCAGTATGGCATCTAAAACTACATCTTCTACTGATTACCCCATCCCTACCAGGATTGTTTTGGACTGTCTAGAAGTCTTACTTTCTGTACTAGTTAACAGTGTTTCTTTCAGACATTTTCCCCCAGGGGTTGGGGGGGGGGGCATTTCAGATTTTTGGAGAAGGGGCAGTTGCCATTGGCGTAGCTAATGCCACCGTCCACCCTTTTCGCATGGCTTCATGGTCCGACCTTTGCAAGGGGGGGGGGTTGCTTCGATGGTATTAAAGGAAAATTATTAGTTTCAGAGTTAAAAGGGGGGGGGCGTAAATATAAATAATGTCCCCTGACGCCATACACTCTAGCTACGCCCCTTCCAGCGACGTTGAGAGGATGAGGATGAGGTTGTGTAGCCAGTTCTCACTTTTTCTTTATACGGAGGTGCGGCATTTTCGGACAACTGCACATTTTTTATAGTGAAAGGGAGAGCGGCCAACATATTTGGGCCCCATGGTAACACTAATATTAGCTACGCCTCTAGAAAATGTATTCATCGTCAACAAAATTAGCGATCATTTTCATCGGGGTGCGGGGTAAAAATTGAGGGATCCGGTGAATCTTGCTTTTATTTATATAAATAAAAACAATACAACGATAATAAAGGTAAACTCGTCCAAGAGCAAATCTCTCTGGCAGGATATGCACTGGAAGACGTGGAGGATGTCACATACAGTCGAACCCACTTATCTCGACCTCGGTTAACTCGTCAACCCTGTTATGTCAACGTTTTTGTAGTGGAACCGCCAAATTCTTTCTTTGTCTTAGCATTTTCTCATCGGTTATGTGGATTCGTTTATATCGCCGAACCCTGATATGTCGAGCACAACAGGCGGCCAAATTTGCGCGTAACGTCGATTATCTCGATCCCCACGACCTATCGCCGGCTTTTGAAAATATATATACAACAGAAACTTGCCTACTTCAAACTAGTAATTTAAATGAAATGACAATGTCGTTGTCCGCGCAATTAACCTGACAAAGCGTGGAGCGAGAGGCTTGCAGACAAAAGAGAGGGAATTCAGTACATGTTATATTTATAGTGAGCTGAAAAATATTTAGCCTCACTAATCCGGGATTCCTGGATAATCCGAAAAAGTGGGCCCCCACATATGCCTTGTGTTGTTAGAAAACATGAATACACATTTTTATAGCATGCCCCTCGCGTCATCAAACCATGCTCATTTATAAACGCACATCATGTACATAAAGAAATTTTAAGCACGTGTTAAATATTTCCGCCACATTGGTTTACGTTCATCTCGATCATTGGTCATCTCAATGCCTTTTTGGTAAACCCCGAGGCCGTCTACATAAACGGGCTCGACTGTTCGTAGGCAGGACCATTGACTTGAATGGTAGATCCTAAGCGGATGCCAGGACTAGAATTTGAAAGACTAGGTCAGCATATGTGGTATTAAAGAAAATATAGGAGTCTTAAGAGCTGGCTCTTCAAACCAGTGTCCCCTTTAAGCTGAGCGGCTTCGCGGCCGCGCAGCTATCTCACAGAAGCCGCGCAGCAGTTTTGAGTATCCGCGAAGCAAATTTCCATGTAAGTGTGTGTTTGTGCTTGTGGGCTGTTAAATTTTGCACCCAAAAAAATTGATACTGTAAAACTTTGCACACAACTGTATGATTTTGCACACAAACCAGCAAACCTTAGAGGGAACATTGCTTCAAACCAACATTCACGGAATTTAGTACATTTATAATTATGCCAAATAAAAATATTTTTTAAAGCCTAATGCCTAATATCATCATACAATTTATAATTAAAACCTATCCCTATTTTAAAAGTAATGCTTTTATAATGAAATATAATTAGAACATAGATTCCTTATGTTTGATACCGGGCAAGAACTATTATTAGAATTGTAGACCTTGATATTGATGTAAACGTATTTTAATGCAGTGTTATTAAACTCTTTAAATCTTTGAATTTGAAAAAAAGGATAAGTGAATAAAAATATATATGTGCGAACAACGGGAAGTAAAACTTCAGCTTATAATCAGGAGTGGTCAGTACGACATTTATAATCCAATACTGTAGGCCTTTACTAGGTTAGCCTTAAATATACGGATATTAAATTAATATATCGAGCATAACAATATTTAATAGACTCCACTAAGTGTAATCGGATAAAGGCACCAGATATATTCTTTTTAAAACAGTTTAAAAATAATGACAATTTAGTCGTTTTTTATTTTTAAAAATATATAATCGTTATATTGTTTTTACCCATTTTTCTCTGGGGGCCACTTGACTGTACTCAGTTCACATTTCATTTGCTGCCCTCTCGGAAAATACTTCTAAGCAAAGTGCTATTTTTTAAATTTTAATTTTATTCTGTTTTTCTGTTGTTTTGTTCGCTGACGAAGGCTTCCTGCTGACACGTTCGTTGTTTTGTTGCGTTCCTTTATCAGGTTTAACCTTACTTTGTTTTATTAATTTCATATATTTATTTCGTTTTACTAGTTGATTTTAATAAAGATTTAAAAAATGATTTATTATGTTTCATTATATTATTATTTTTGTTGGATTATTATTATTTTTGCTTAATTATTATTGTATGACAAAATGAAGTATTCTTGGGGCTAAATTCAATATATTTTTAATGGTCCTCATTTTTCTTCATTGTAGGAAACAGGAAATTATAAATTTTTAAAAATATATATTATATTGTTGCTTTTCCTCAATCATGAAAGGATGTTCACCAGACTTAGTAGTATACACTTACAGCTCGCATAGATGTGTGACGCGCAGCATGTAAAAATCTTCCTGTCTATGCGCTACCGGGTCAAAATAGTGAGAGTCAACCACGTGTAACTCTTGGGTGGGAGTCCACAACGTATGATTGTGGGGACTCAATAATGTGTGTCTGTGGGGAGTAAATAGCATGTGGCTGTGGGGGAGTCAATAAGGTGTGACTCGTGGGTAGGGAGTCCACAACGTATGATTGTGGGGACTCAATAATGTGTGGCTGTGGGGAGTAAATAGCATGTGGCTGTGGGGGAGTCAATAACGTGTGGCTCCTGAGTGGGGAGTCAATAACGTGTGACTCGTGGGTGGGGAGTCAATAACGTGTGGCTCGTGGGTGGGGAGTCAATAACGTGTGGCTCCTGAGTGGGGAGTCAATAACGTGTGGCTCCTGAGTGGGGAGTCAATAACGGGTGGCGCGTGGGTGATCCTGAGTGGGGAGTCAATAACGTGTGGCTCGTGGGTGGGGAGTCAATAACGTGTGACTCCTGGGTGGGGAGTCAATAACGTGTGACTCGTGGGTGGGGAGTCAATAACGCGTGACTCCTGGGTGGGGAGTCAATAACGTGTGACTCCTGGGTGGGGAGTCAATAACGTGTGGCTCCTGGGTGGGGAGTCAATAACGTGTGACTCGTGGGTGGGGAGTCAATAACGTGTGGCTCCTGAGTGGGGTGTCAATAACGTGTGGCTCCTGAGTGGGGAGTCAATAACGTGTGGCTCGTGGGTGGGGAGTCAATAACGTGTGACTCCTGGGTGGGGAGTCAATAACGTGTGACTCGTGGGTGGGGAGTCAATAACGCGTGACTCCTGGGTGGGAAGTCAATAACGTGTGACTCCTAGGTGGGGAGTCAATAACGTGTGGCTCCTGGGTGGGGAGTCAATAATGTGTGACTCGTGGGTGGGGCGTCAATAACGTTTGACTCCTGTGTGGGGAGTCAATAACGTGTGACTCGTGGGTGGGGCGTCAATAACATGTTACTCGTGAATGGGGAGTCAAAAACGTGTGACTCCTGGGTGGGGAGTCAATAACGTGTGACTCCTGGATGGGGAGTCAATAGCGTGTGACTCGTGGGTGGTGAGTCCATAACGTGTGACTGTGGGGTCAGTAACGTGTCGCGTGGGAGTAAAAAGTATGTAGCGTGGGAGGTGGGGGGGGCGAGATACGTTTAACTGATGGAGGGGGGGGATTACGTGCTGCTATGGGGAGTCAAAAAACTTGTTGCTGTGGGGGGGGGCAAAACGTGTGGCTGCTGAGGTATAGGGGGGTGGTGGTGACAGTTATCCACGGAGTAACGACTCCCAACAACGGCATGACGCTTTACTTTTGACTCATCGAGTACACATATGTCTTACAATCACAGCACTGAGTTGAACTTGAGAGGGAAAACTTCCCCGCTGTAGTATTGGCGCTATCAGTTGAGTAATCCGGTGACACCACAAAAACCAAAGCTGTCC